GAGGTGGTACCAGGGGCGTGGGATGTGCGGATGACCAGAGGTGGTACCAGGGGCGTGGGATGTGCGGATGACCAGAGGTGGTACCAGGGGCGTGGGATGTGCGGATGACCAGAGGTGGTACCAGGGGCGTGGGGGTGCGGATGGCCAGAGGTGGTACCAGGGGCGTGGGATGTGCGGATGGCCAGAGGTGGTACCAGGGGCGTGGGGGTGCGGATGGCGAGAGGTGGTACCAGGGGAATGGGGTGCGGATGGCCAGAGGTGGTGCCAGGGGCGTGGGGCGTGCGGATGGCCAGAGGTGGTACCTGGGGCGTGGGGGTGCGGATGGCCAGAGGTGGTACTAGGGGAATGGGGGTGCGGATGGCCAGAGGTGGTACCAGGGGCGTGGAGGTGCGTATGGGGCGGTCCGCCCCTGGTGGCACTTTTTTATTCATATGGTGGGGCTTCATTTTCGGTCAACTGCAGATTTCTTTTATTAGAAGGGGGGCAGCAATCTTTACCCGCCCCGGGTGGCTGTAACCCTATCTACGCCACTGGGTTGCATCAAACTCTTACCTACGCAGGCCTGTTTACTCTTACGATTTAGAGGTGTAGACTCTAGATATACTGGATGTTTGTTTTTTACCATTAAGATAATGTACTGAAGATTTTGTGATGATATTGTACGTTTTAAGAGTTTGGGGGTAAACAGGTCTGCCTACGCCACTGGGTTGTATAAAACTCTTAACCACGCTGGGGTTGTCCTCCCGCGGAGCCGTCTCCATACACTTGTTCTGTAACGGAATGTTGTTTCGGAAAATGTATAAAGCTTTGAAAAAACTGCTAAAATGAACAGCAACATTCCCCTTTCTCTCTCTGTGTCTCACTCTCTGTCACTCTTTGCCTCTATTTAAGTCTCTATCTGTCTCTCTCTCTCTCTCTGTCTTTCTCCCTCCCGTTCGCGCTCTGCTTCACGCCATCTCACTTTCCCCGGTGCCACTTCTCCCTCGGCCTCACTCCCTCCCTGTGTGAGACTGTACACACACACATACCACACTGGCTATTAACACCTAGTTTTTAAAAAAATAATACAGCTACATCACTACCTACACCCCAGCCAGTATTCAGGTAAAAGGATAACCGCTAGGCAGGGTTTCTCAAAAGGGATTTGTGACTCCCAATCCTTCCCGCAGAAATTGAATAGATGGGACCGGAATTGACAAAGGCTGGGGGGGGGGGGGGGTTAGATTTCGCGAAGAGATATGTTTCTATTCTTTATCGTTTAATTGACTCCCTTGAGTTTGAGACCTTGAAATGTACGGATACTATAGACAAATGGTGTAGGAATGCGGGTCACGAAAAAAAAGGGGTGGGTGGATCGGTCTGCCCCGGGAGGCATTTTTCTCTATGCACCGAGGGTGCCATTTTAGAACAAATGTAATTTCTTCCATAGAATGGGGCGGCTAAAAGTTTGGCCCGCCCCGGGCGGCACTAACCCTAGATACGCCTCTGTTTGGGGGTGGGTGTACCCTGGGTGGCACTAACCCTAGATACGCCTCTACATCAGATGACTAGAGTAAGGCAGCTTATGATTTAATACGAGCAGTACGTGGGGCGGGTACGGAGGCAATGAGTTAAGGTGTGCGTCCTTGACAGCAGGGCAAAGTTCACGAGCAGCTAAGGTGATTTTTCTTGTCTTCTGGGCGTTTGGATAACCTCCCCCTGCCTTGCCTACAACTGTTTGAAAGTTTGTGTTTACCAGCACAATTAAGGATTTCCTTGAAGTACACACTCAATTTTCAAAGTGTTTCTTACCGTGTGTTTGGTAGCCGCTCACTTCCGTTTGATTGTGTACTTGCATCTGTGCTCACACTCAACTTGTATGTGTGTGTACAGTGATATCTGTCGGCCACATTCAAAGTTCTGATTCAGGGGTCACATGTAGTTTGATTGACCGTTGCATGTCGTGCTGATAAAAGAAAACGATACACTCGCTTACGATATCCTCCATCGGATTTTGGGGGTGGGGGGTTGGGTGGTGGTGCAAAGCATTACGCACGTGTGTTTAAGCAGGCATTTAATTCAACTTGACCTGAACTATAATATAATATCAGTCATTTGAATTGGTTGACTTCCGTGGCCTCAGCAGAATACATTTTAAAACAAACCTCCACATTTTAGAGAGCTACACAGCTGCTTAATTCAGATCAAAATTATTTAGTTTTGATGGGCCACAGCATCTTGTCTCCGCTTAAATTAATTTAAAATTGTATTTTTTTTTTTTTAAATATTAAAAACGAAATGGGCTTACAATTTCAAGGGAGGTCATTAGAAGAGAAAACAAAATGATCATGCGCAAAACATAGTTCTAAAACTTCCCCTCATGTGAATTAATCTCCAATTAATATTGATTTCTTCTAATTTTTGTCCAATAAATTCATAATCTACCTTGGCTTTCAAATGATTCGGTGTTTTAAAAAGAAATAATTACGCTCCCGCCTTAAAAAAAAATTTAAAAAAATAAAACTGTCATCAAATCAATGAAAGGGAAATAATCACTGCAAGAGGGGAATATTGTAGAAAAGAATAATCTGATCACTGGTTGAAGTTATATTTATATGATTAGTTATATTAAAGTGGACAAGGAAACTGCAAAGCCTATCATTCCTTTGATAATTTATTTAATACATTTATCTTTATGGCACAGATGATGCCTATGGTAAAATTGGGTGGTGGGGGGGTGGGTGGTGTATGGTAGTTAATCTTATCAATGAAAACAATTTTTCCCAATGTTAACTCCATCTCTCTATGACATGATACTTTAAAGCATTGCAAGATTTAAACCTTTATACTTGTTCTACTAAGTAACCCCCCACTCCCACAACCCCGACTTCTCCCCCCTCCCCTTAAAAAAAAATTCACAGTTTATTTTGTGTGTAGGAAAGCTCAGTTCAGTTACATAGCACAGTACAAACATGTTGTATTTTGCTTTTGAATGATTAAAATAGGAAAAAAAAGGATTCAATGATTGCCTTGAGTCTAGTTGTTTGTTGAACCTTTGAGATCATTCAACTTTCAATGTTCAATGTGTCCAGACAGGTCTTTTCTAATTGATAGACTAAATGGGACACTTGATGGTCTTGTTGGTTCAATGGTTTGATTTGTGTATGAGCTTGTAAAACAATTTCACTCATTCTTACCTGTCAAGGTGGGCAAACTATTGGTGTAGAATAAAAAATTGTCTACCCATGCTCAGCAAAGCTGGTGAATGACCCAGTGAAGGTGATCAACAAACCTTTGCAGGAAAGGTTGCAGTGGTTTGTTGGTGACCAGGTATAAAAGTATAAGGGGAAGTAGACTGTGTAGTTCATGTGGTGAAAATTTGAAATCTGGACTGCAAGTGTGAGGGAAGAGTTTTAGAGCTTAGTTGTCAGGGACGTGTTTGATAGTTTGTGTGTTAGCTCTTGTGCAAGTCACTTTTAACACAGTTTGGCTGCATGCAAGGAAGTGTATAGGCAAAAAAAATATATTTAAGAGATACACAAGTTCATATAAATCAAATAGCGGCAATAATTCCACAAATTTTGAAAAAGAATTCTGTTGATATCTGATCATGCCGGCTGTCATGGTAAGTTTACAGGGAATACCCTTAAAATGTGTTAGTATATTTTTCTTACATATGCGTTATACTGCTGCGTTCTGGGTGACTTTATCCCTTTATCTATCACTAGGTCACATGTTAATTATCACTCACTAACTCTAGACTGGTATACATGCATTTTTAAATGTATTCACAAGCCACAAAGTCTAGTGTGCTCTTAGGTTTTTAAACTCCTTTAAATTATGCGACATTTTAACCATGACAATAGTAAAAATAACTCTTTGATCGCTCAATGTCTCCATCTTTGTACATATACTTTTATATCCTCTGTCAATTTGTGCAAACCTGCTTCTTGTATGGCTATTTATGGTGTTTAAACAATTATTTTAACACATTTTATTAATTCAGTTTTTAAATTTACAGGGTCTAAGCATATTCATGTTTTCAAATTTTTAAAATCAAAGTGGCAAAAGTCTGAATAAATAGGCTAAAATATTTTTTATCTTTAAAAAAGTAAGAAGTTAATCTATATTTTATAATTATGGCCCTAGAAAGATTGGCTGCTGCACCTCTACTCCATCCTCCCCCTCTCCTGCCCCATGACAGTCTACACCTCTAACAAAAATAACATGACAATTTTCTAATGATATTTTAATTTCTCAACTTTGCAGGGGTCAAGTGGAAAAGGTGAGTAAATTGATCCATTTTGCTTCTTATGTTGGTTTACCATTGAATAGTTGTATAACCTGAACATTGTTTAGCTAACACCTAAACATTGTTTAGGTAACCGGTCTGTCAGTTCATGTGTCATTAGCAGAGAATAAAATAATTGCATGTTCACTGGATATTAACACAGCCTTGTCTAAAACTCAACCAACTGATTGTCTTAACTTGTGAGATCTCTTTCACACACTTTTTTAGTGTGATGGTGTATGAGTCTTGTAAAGACTTAAGTTGAAAAGTTCTTGAATAGAGGGTATGATATTTTTCTTGCTATGGTCTACAAGTTATGTATGCTCTTCACTCTTATTTACAATGTTTAAAATGTATTTAAAAAAAAAATAATTTAAGCCTATTAATTAATTATGCCAATGTGATGCTTAAAAATCTTTGACTTATATTATTATAGTTCTAAATGTTTCATGTTTTATTTATTCTGGATTATTTATGGCTAAATGGAAACTTATTTTTTTTAAATATTATGACCTTATAATTTTAAATAAATTTCTATAATTTAGGCTAACAAAATGCCTGCAATTTGAAAAGCTCATTTATCATTTTAACAAATTAAAAAATTTAAAAAAAATGAAATGTTCAAGCAAAGCCTATGAAATATGATATGCTAACAAAATGGCAAATACAATATGAAATGTTAACTGAAGGGCAAATAAAATCTAAAATTAAAAAAAACCTTGAAAAGCAGGGGAGGCTGAAGATGGGGATGAAGACAAGTTGCAGCCAGTGGAGGAGGAAATGTTTGCTGAAACAGCACTAGTTACTGGGGCAAATGGAAATCCAGAATATTCAGCAGAGCTGGATGATAATGGGTCAGATACTGAGGGTGAGGTTTGAACTTTGTCATACACTGGCCAGGGGTTCTCTGTAAGACTAACTCATTTTTTAAAAATTCATGATCACAGTTTCAGTTTATCTACATTTCCAGATAGTACAGGGTGGTGGGATATTTTTTCCCCATTAAAAGTACTAAAGCCAATTAATGAAAATGTTATTGGGATAAAGATCATTCAAGTATGTTTAGTGTGATTATTTTCCCCTTACTATTATGGGGACATATTATAAAAAGAAAAAAGTGGTCTGTAACTTTTAACCTGAACCATTTTGACAAAACTCTACTAATTGCTACAATATAATTTAATTTAATTTATTTTGATGCACAGCGAAATTTCATTAGTGAATTATAATTCATGGATATCTTGTGAAAGTTTCTATGTAATAAAATGATGGATTGTGAATTAAAAAAAACAAAAACAACCACACTTACTATGCCGTTAAGATTTTAGAAAACTATTAACAGTGTAAAACCTTTATATGAGATCTATTACTTTTTTTTTTACTTTACAGATGCCAACTATAGTAAATCATGCGTATATAATTTTGAAATAAATTACTTTCAACAGAAAAATACATTATTGCACTAAATTTTTACTTGTTAACACTTTTTAAAAGATAAATTTGGAAGAAGTGGTAATGAGAACTCCCTGGTCAGTTATTTTCATTTATGTGTGACCTATTTATAAAAATATAACATTGTAACTTTTTTTAGACCCTATTTTACTTATCATTGTTAGTGTAAATGTGTAAGTGCTTTATAAATTACAGTAATTGTATCACAAAACTTTAAAATTGTCATGTTCTAGATTCTCACCTATAATGTTATTTGACTCGTTGCTCTTTGAGCTGTAAAGAATAAGAATTTTTTTTTTTTTAAAGAAAAAAAAGGTAAATTCTTTTTTAAATTTTTATAAAATTTTGAATTAAAGAAAAAAAAGTGTGGAAAAAATCTTTAAGTAAAGATCTATGCTATGAGGTATCACAATTTTTTTATAAAAAAAGAATTCCAAATTAAAATTTCTAATTAAAATTGACTAATGAGACTAAAGTTATCTACCGAATATGTAGTTTATTAAATGATTTACTTCACTTTGATGATGGCTACAACAAGGCTGTACAGAATTTAGAATGGAATAAAATAAAGCAGTTATTATTATATTGTATATCATTTACCCACCAAACAGATTTAAATATTTAAAATATATTTGTGAAATTACAGTTGCTAGGGAAGATGTTAAGGAAGATAATGAAGATGGAGAAGAAGATAATGAAGCAGGTATAGAAGAAGGGGAAAGGGAAGAAAAGGAAGATGAAAAAGAAGATGAAAAAGAAGATGAAAAAGAAGATGAAAAAGAAGATGAAAAAGAAGATGAAAAAGAAGAAGAAGAAAAGGATGATGGAAAAGAAGATGGAAAAGACGAAAATGAAGCAGGAGTGGAAGAAGGTGAAAAGGAAGAAAAAGAAGATGAAATAGAAGATGAAAAAGAAGAAGAAAAAGATGATGGAAAAGAAGATGGAAAAGAAGAAAATGAAACAGGAGAGGAGGCTATCAATGAAGCTGAGGAGTTGGGTATTAGAGAGGAAGAAAAATCTGAAAATTTAAATGAGGAAACTGAAGAAAATGTGGCCGATGAGGAAGAAAAAGCAGATAATATAGGTGATAATGAAACAGCTGTAACTGTAGGTGAGGCCTCAAATCTTTTTTTTGTAGCTACATATTAATAAACCTATAACCAAATATTTTAGTTCACCTTTTAGTGCGATTGATTGTAGTTCGATGTGTATTTATTAAAACTTTTCATCACATTTTTTTGGTATCCATTTCATTTACAGCTTGTAAATATATATAATGCATACTTGATATTTCAGCTTTCACTTAAATAATAGGCTACGTTACTTAGATTTTGGCTATTTTTAACAACAGCTTTGAAAAAATATAAGGAATCTAATAACTGCTTAGAGTCAACTAACAATTCATAAATGATCAACTCTTACGCACCAGGTTAAAAGAGTTATATTTATATACATGCTTGTGTATTGACATATTGTTATACTCATGATTTTAGCTTTTTATTTTCCTTCAAATTAAACTAATCAGAAAAAAAATGATCATTTTTCTGGCTGCTACAGCTATACTAAAGTGTATTTTTGAATTTTATAATTCCTTGATGCAAATGTCATTTCTATTCCAACCTAAAACCCTCTGCAAATTTTAAGAATCGCTCCAGATTTATTCTTCAGAAAAAAAGGCTCAAAACATGTGTGAAAATATGTATATTATTTATTCAATAATTTTTACTTTTAATATTATTAATGGGGTCAGAATAGAAGTAATGAAAAAAAATGTTTTCCAACATGCAGCCTGATAGGATTGTGGTGTGATTGTTTGGTAAGGAAACTGCTTATTCAAATATACATTTATAATTCTAAACAGCTGAACAGTGATCAATATGTTTTATAAGGCTCACAAGTTTTAGTGATTTCATATTTTTAAATGTCACTTATAAATTTAATTTATTATATTTTGGTTAAATTATATATACTTTGATTAAATTTCATTAAAAATACTTATTTTAAATCTGCAAATCTCTCACAGTTATACGGTTATAAAATACATTTATTAAGTCTATATTAAATGTTCTTTAGTAGTTTGACAACTGTTGAGCTAAAAATATTTCATAATCAGATGTTAATGAAATTCACAAATTGCAAGAGACTGATGGCCATTTCATTTACTGTGACATGCTCTTTTAACAGACAGCCCATTATACATTATACAAGAAGCAACTGATGTATGATGCTGGGTAAAGCATTTAACTGATGAAAACATTGAAACTTAAGGTGTGGAAACAAACATGAGATCAGGAAGAGAATGATAGATGACTTTATGTGGAAATTAAGATGTAAATTATAATTATGAAGACTCTTGGAAGTGATGAATGGAGTTTCATTTAATGAGAATAATAACAGTGCTACATCTGTAAATATATTACATTTAAGTATTTAAACAATTTTCCAGTTAAAATGATAGAGAACATTTTCCAGTCATGTTATTAAATATTGTTATTAAATCTTGTTATTGAAACGTGTATTCTTGTTTTTGAATGTTGTTATCAAATCAAATATTTAAACAAATATATGTACTTATATGCCAAAATGAGAAAGTTTTTTGATGAAAAAATTGTATTTATTAATACTTATTAACAAAACAAAAATTCAATTTAAGAAATAATAAATATGTACAAATTAATTATACATTTACTAATAAATTTTTTAAGGTTTTAAATTTAATGTTTTTTCTATTTATTGCGTCTTATGTCTAATTCTTTATACAATTCATGAAGTATGTTCAAATTGAATATTGATTTAAATCCTAGTTGATTTTATCTATATCCAAACCACTCTTGTCAAAAATGATTTTTTGTCCATTTCCAAATGTTAATTCTTGCAGCAGATATAAATTTCTATTGTCAAAATACTTTTTCAATTTTAATGAATTGTGTGATATTTATTTTATTTTTTTAAAATCTACACAAATTTAAAGTGCCCATATACTGAGTCAATTTTTTTACAAAGATTTACTTGCACTATTGACAGAACATAAACATAAATGACTGTTCAAATAATGTTTAATTTGTTTTTACATTTTGAATTCCATATTTGAATTTTATTTTTGACTTCTCACCTTTGCTTTCTCAAATCCTTTAAAAGTACAATTGGGTATTTATTTACCATTGAGTTGGTTTATTTTTAAACTCTTTCAAATAATAAAGGGAACATATTTGAAAGTTAAATGGAATATTTTGTTGACACTCACTTATTATTCTAATTGACGGGGCCACCCATAAAGACAAAACATCTCTAGAGGGGATTTGGAGGGGTGGGTGGTCACAAATTTGTGATTTGTGATGTGGGTTAAAAGTTTCTATTTTTTTAAAAACAAATTTGTGATAGTAAAATAAGTGCGGGGGGGGGGGAAGGCCACCAAAATTGCATGATGTCATTTATAGATGGCTCTGAAGAAAAAATAACTGTAACCCCAAAATACAAACATATTAACTAAATATATATAATTAAAACAAATTTGTGATAGTAAAATAAGTGCGGGGGGGGGGGGGAAGGCCACCAAAATTGCATGATGTCATTTATAGATGGCTCTGAAGAAAAAATAACTGTAACCCCGAAATACAAACATATTCACTATATATATATAATGTATATTATATTTGTGTGACCTTAATTATTAACACAATATATTAATAAAGATGTACTTTTTGATAAACTAACATTTTTTTATTCCTTAATTTGAGTAGTTCAGTTTGCTTGGCTTTAACAAAAATAATTTCTTGTCTATGCTTGCTATTGTGTGTAGATAGATCAGATGAACAGAGAAAATATTATCATTTTTGGAGAGCTTAACATATGAAATCAGTCTTATCATATAATTTAATGAAACTTGAATATTTACTTTTAGCAATCTGATCCTGAACAATCCATATTCATGTAATAAGAAATAAAATTAATTGTTCTGTTCCAAATTTAAAAAACAAACTAACATAACTTAAAAGCTTTAAATTTATGGATCAAGACGGTGAAATTGAGTTAAATTGTTTAATCCATATGATGAATTTAAAACTAAATGTCTAGAGCTTGGTGTAAATTTCAATATTGATCCACACAACATAATATAAAAGAACTTAGGAAGGCATAAACAGGTGTTAATTTAAATTTTGTTTATACTATAAATATTTTACAATTTAATGTGTGTGTTTTCTATAATTTATAGAAAACACACACATTAAATTTTAAAATATTTTAAAATTATGATTAACAACATACACATTAGAAAAAAATAACACATTTTAAAAAATACAGATTTTATATACTGAAATGTTAAATTTAATAACAATAATATCTATATTAAAGAAAAATTACTCTTTAAATCTTTAGATTAAAAAGACAGAATTAACAAACAATGGTTCAAATGGTAATTTAGTGATAACCAAAAGATCTATGCTGGCAGCTCATTAACAGAAAACTATGAAGCTATTTTTCAATTGGCACAAAACAAAACAAAAAATCTTTAATCTCTATCAGTCATACCTTTTCATCCTCTTTATAGTTAAAAATATTAATTTGTGAATTGTTATAATTCAATGAGTTTTACTGCTTACATTGGTAAGTACAACACAAATATTAAAATAGATTGACAGCCTTTAGGCATAGGCATCTTAACCTTTAAACAATATGCAAATAATTCATGCCACTTTGAAAGTAATATATTATTTAAACAATATTTTTAAATTACAAATATTTAGAGAGAAAGCACACAAATCTGTCCAACTAAACAAATTACGGTATAACTATGGTGAGTGGACAAGAGGAAGCTATCAGAGAGGGGAACAATCTTAATAAGGAATTCGTTACTAACAAGGGTTAATTTCATTATATGCTGTGATAAAAAGGGTAAATTATGCTGAAATGAAGTGTTCCAAAATAACTATTATATTTCTTTGTTCTTAGACATCAAGAAAATCCCAGTTGTGTTTGTCATTGGTAAGTGTTGTGAAGACTTTGTCACATTTGATAAATATTTTAAAACAAGAAATGGGAAGAAATAACCGTGTGCCTGACTGCAAACATCAGGTCAATGGAATAATTATGCTGATCCACATCTTTAATTTTTATCACACAAAAAAGTCATGAGCCTCCATAAATTACTTAAAGAGCCTTTTTATATTATTTTTACTTGTAACAAGAATTACTATTAATTAAAATTACTTATATTTATGCATATTGCACTAAAAATTTCATGATGAGATATTGTTAATATAAATCTAACAATTTATGTTCAGGTGGCCCGGGCAGTGGTAAGGGCACACAGTGTGAAAAAATCGTTAAGAAATATGGGTTCACCCACCTTTCTTCTGGAGACCTTTTGAGGGCAGAGGTAGCCTCTGGATCTGAGAGGGGTCAAAAGCTGACAGAGATTATGGAGAAAGGCGAACTTGTTCCATTGGTAAAATTAATTAATTATTGGTAGAAACTATTTCTCTTACTGCTTTCAATGAAGACAGAATTATCACATAAGTTTTTACTTTTTAAACCAGAGTCATGCTTTAAACATATTCCACTACCTAAAACAAAAATCGTTTTTATTTCATTTGATTTAAAATAATTATATTTATTTCATTTCTTGAATACATTTTTTAATTATGTAAATGATAAAAAAACAACATATATATATATATATATATATATATATATATATCTGCAATATCAGATGCCTGAATTTAGAGTTCTTAAAGTTTTGTTACACTAATTCTGACAAGATGATATAATAGAATTTATACTAAAGACATTTCTTGACCATAGTAGTAACAAGTGAGCATTGTCTTCATTTGCAGGACACTGTGTTAAGTCTGATGAAAGAAGCCATGCAATCCAAGGCAGCCACCAGCAAAGGTTTCCTTATTGATGGATATCCCAGAGAACTGGAGCAAGGAGTCCGATTTGAGAAAGAGGTCAATTTTTTTAATTAGGGCGTCACTTTGGGATATCTTTATCTGATATAAATCTGTGTTTTAAAAGTCATTTATGTAAAATTCATTTTATCCGTCCAGCAAAAATTGCCAATGCATTCCAAACTATTTGTGCTGGGCTGGCTTTCTTTCAATGTTATCTTTGTATTTTTCTTCCAGGTTGCCCCAGCCAAGTTTGTTCTGTGTTTTAACGTGTCAGATGAAACAATGACACAAAGACTGCTGGGACGTGCCATAACCAGCGGGCGAGTTGACGATAATGAAGAAACCATCAAAAAGAGGCTTAAGACTTTCCATGATGTTACCCAGCCTGTAATTGATCATTATAATAGCAAGGGCAAGGTCAAGATGGTGTGTGATCAAGATTTACTTTGAATTAAAATAGAGTATAATGAATTAGTTACATTTTAATTAAATATTTCTGAACCATTTAGGGTCTGCATAAACCTCTGGCACACAAGAGCCAAACAAAGGTTTTATTTCATTTTGTCTATGTTTTTTTTAAACAGTTGGAAAAATAGATACATCTGGATTTAGTAATCTGGATAATTACATTAAGTGCTTAGCTCTTATTTAATGTTAAAAGATGATATAAATTTTTTATTATACATTTTAAAACAGTCCATCTAAATGCTCTCAAATGGCTTTTATATGAATGTATCTTTTTCAGATTGAGGCAGAAGGCAGCGCTGACAGCATTTTCGAAATGGTTGATAAAGTTTTTGAGGAAGAAGGAATTTCACCATCTAAAGGTAAATAATGAAGGAAGTCATCTAATGGAGCTCGACAAAGAAAAAAGGGGCAAATTTAAATAGCTCTAGATGCTGATGTTACCACATAATGACTGAAATACAATTTTTCACACCAAATATTTAAAATATTCTAATGTGATTTTACTCATTAGGGAAACGATTTTTTTTGCGTTGATTTCATAAACCCCCTCAAATGGTTGTAGAAATAACATACCTGCTAAAAAAATGATGTAATTGTTATAGTCATAAAAATAATATTTTGACCGAATCGTCATTTTAAATAGAGATGTAAGCTATTCATAAATGTAATTTTGAAAACATATAAACAATAGATTTCAGTTTCTACAAAATGCAAAGTATTTTATCCTGTGATATGTTACAGAACCATGAAAAATATAGAAGTTTTAATTTATTACATTGTATTTGATCAGATGATACATTTAAATGGGGCTGTGTTCCACCCAATAAATTTAGTGAAAGTTTTTATATATCTATATTTTTTTTAAAGTCTAAAATAGTGCTTTTACTAGATATTTTTTCATCAATCCAAGCCAATCATTGTCATAAATTATTAGTTCACATGACAAGAAACTCTCTAAACATAGTAAATGTAAGCTGCCATGAATTCAAAGTTTAAAAATATGTTACTGGAAGTTGACAAGCATCTCTTTGATAAATAATTCATTGCCACTGAAATATTTTCATGTCTATATTAAATTTCATGTCAAGCAATAAATGTGAATAGAAAGCTAAAATTATAAACTTTGTTTCCGTTTTTCTATATAATTACAACTATTTATTTTTACACTTTTGTAATTATTTTTTTATTATTATTTAATGTTTTCAAAAGTTTATTCAAGTGTAAGTCTTAATAATACTGAAGCTTGATTGTTACTTTTTACTTTGTCTTTTACTTCTTGTTATATGCTTTGGAAAGTAAAAAAAAAAATTAGATTGTATTTTTAATAATTTGACAAATTTAAGCATCACTGGCATCAGATTCAATGTTTATCACCTTTAAATTATTTTAGATTTTTTGATGGTTCTAAAAAGTACTTCTCATCTTACATTGTTGATTTGTTTTCAATTAAGCAAATAATTATTTTTTTAAAAATTATTGCATTTCTTTCAAACAATGGATATATTTTATAAACAATATTAAGTGATATTCAGCTATTAACAGTTAGTTGTGTAATTTCAAATATAAAAAATAACATTAAAAAAAAAGTGAATTATAGCTCTTAAAAATAGTGTTATTCATAGAAAAAAAAGTTAGTTGAAATGACTGAAAATTGAGTGATGTGGCCATATATAATTAAGTTATAAAAAAAAAAAGTGATGCATTTTTGCTTACTTCACAGACTGCTTTGGAAAGGTTATATTTGTTGTGGGTAAGTTTAAACATGTTTTAATTATTTCATTATAGGATTGTATAAAGTTTGAAGTGTACATCAAAGGTTTGATGTTACTAAGTGATAAAAGCCTAATATGAGCACAAAAAAGGAGAAGAAAACAAAGTTTGAAAGTTACTAAAATCTAACAGGCCTATAGTCTTAACAATAAATTTAAATGTGCAATAAGGTACTAATTTCATTATAAAAAAATTGTCATATACAAGTTCTTCTTTGAAAATGAATGCCTAAATGAGAATGTATAATGGTTTTGAAAAAAAATGTTTGAAGGGTATTTCAAATTATATAAGGAATAGCTTAATTCCAAGTGTCAATGTTCCCATGGCTTGACATATATTTTTTTTCATCATCCAGGTGGGCCTGGAAGTGGAAAGGGAACTCAGTGTGACCTCATTGTGAAAAAATATGGCTACACTCACTTGTCCTCTGGTGATCTGTTGAGAGCAGAAGTTGAGTCAGGATCAGAACGAGGAAAGAAACTAACAGAAATCATGCAGAGAGGGGAATTAGTCTCACTGGTGAGTCTTGAACCACTTTCAGTATTAACCTTTTCTTTTAATAAGTAGCACTAGAAAGACTGATTAATTACAGGGAATACAAATTGCAAACCTTTTATCCACCAGGATACAGTCCTAGAACTTCTGAAAGAGGCCATGCTGAGGAAAGTTGCATCAAGCAAAGGCTTTTTGATCGATGGCTACCCACGAGAATTGGATCAGGGAGTCAGGTTTGAGAAAGAGGTAACTCAATTTAGGTTTTAAGCCCTGTGCCTTAGCTAAGAGAATACCTTCAAAAATATGTACTCAGCTCACTTAAAAAGAGTGTAAAGAATGGCTAGCTGCATTCAAAAGTAAAAAAAAGCAAAAAAGTAATTTTAAAAACAATGGAATATTTATAAAAGTTGAGATGATATCAGAATCGAACACACTTTTAAACTGTTACATTTCTGATCTAACAATAATAAGAATAACATGGGGGATTTTTCTCACTTGCTGTGTGTTCCTTCTTTCCCTACATATAGATCTGCAGTCCACAATTTGTCTTATACTTCGAAGTGTCTGATGAAACCATGACTAAACGACTGCTGGGCCGTGCTGAGACCAGTGGAAGAGCTGATGACAATGCTGAGACGATCAAAAAAAGGCTGGTCACCTTCCATGACATCACCCGTCCTGTGATCGACCATTACACAAAACAGCAGAAAGTCAAAAGAGTAAGCTTATATATAATTTTTTCTATAGATGATTGTTAAGTTAAGAAAGCTTTTCATAAGTTTAACCTTTAGATCTGAATCTAAAAAAAGGTCTAAAGGCTCATATAATTCCACTTGCTCATATGCATATTTGTTATGCATTTCACACAAATTAATTTCTGTTTTTTTTTTTTTAGACAAAGCAATCTTTTGATGAAACATTTTAAAAGAAAGACAAACAAAAAACAAGATTTATTTTTTTGGTCTTTGTTTCAACTGGTTTTTACTTTGGAATTTGAATATTTTCAAAATCATATGTATTTTATTTGTGACTCTTTTACCTTCCAAGCTGAGATAAATGCATATATATATTATATATATATATATCTTTAGACCAGTTTTAATATGATGATGTTTTCCATTGGCATTTTATTTCAAACTGGCATCTAATGATGGCTCTATAAACATGTTTGACAGGTCAGTGCTGAGGGTGGAAAAGATGAAGTTTTTGCTCAAGTTGAAAAAATATTTGATGAAGCAGCAGGTATGTCAATATTAATGAAGTAAATTAATACAGGAATGAAACATGATATTGTCAGTTGAAGGACTTTACAGACTCTATAAATTTCAATATTATCTTTTAGTACTATGTGATTAGCATTTTTTTTTAGTTCCAGTTTTATCATGAAATCAATTTGATATGATTAATTTTACTAATGGAGGTCACTGGCAAAGTCTATCTTCAGCTCGATGAAGGAAAAATAACTCTTACAAGAATCAAAGTTTTGAGACCATGAAATAATTTACGGACTCTCTGAGCATGTTAAATTATATTCTATTTTCAAAAGTTAATAAATGTTGAATGAATATTTATGATCGGATCTTCATTTTTTAATCTTAATTTAAAAAAAAAAATCAAAATCTTAAATCTTTTACCTTCACAGCTACAGAGAAAGCCTTGAAAAATGCCAAGGTTGTTTTTGTCATTGGTGAGATTGTTTTATTTATCATAACTTTTAAAAATTTTGTCTACACATTTCCAATTTGATTATCAGTTTTCCTTCTTGAAATAAGTAATTCTTGTGAATTTATTCCCAAAAGTTGATTTAATTTTTTTCCTTCTCTTTGTTGAAGGAAGTTTATCCAAAAAGATTTTTTGTGATTGTGATTGTAAATGTAAAAAAAAAAACAACCTGTTTTAAATATGACTTACTCACTTAGATTATATGACTGAGATTTTTCAAACATAGCGACACATATTTAAATACGTTATTAAGTTATTTATACAAAACTTAATCAGAGCTTTGTTGTTTTTTTTACTCCATTTTAGGTGGTCCAGGAAGTGGCAAAGGGACTCAATGTGCCAATATTGTCAAAGATTATGGTTTCTGCCATCTATCTTCAGGGGACCTTCTGAGGGATGAAGTCAAGTCTGGATCAGACAGGGGTCAAAGGTTAAATGCCATTATGGAGAAAGGAGAATTGGTGCCAATGGTTAGTCAGTTTGTAGAGAAATAAATGGTAGCAAAATAAGTGAATTAGGTTTAAGTTGGTGAGTTCATGCAAATCAATAGTTAAACTCTTGAGTTAAAAAAAATATTTTTTTTGCATTTCATTTGTAAAATATGCACCAACACTTATGTTTGATATTTTTTTATCCCGCTAGTATTTTTCTTGTATTCCTCAGGAAGAGGTACTAGGACTTCTAAAAGATGCTGTAGTCAATAATTTAACAAAAACTAGTTGCTTTTTGATTGATGGCTATCCACGGGAGCTGGAGCAGGGGCTGAGATTTGAGGCTGAGGTGAGATTTTTTATTTTTTATTATAATAACTTAAAATGTATTCCAGACAAGATAACTCCAGAGCTGTATTAATTTTCACAGGTCGTCTCACAGTTGTTTGTGTTTATGTATGTGAAAAACATTGCATGAATTAAATTATAAACAGTTTTTTTTTCTATAATATGTGAAGGCCCATGATCAATTTATTGATCATTCTGGCTCCTGGTTTCAATTCAGATTTTGCCTTCTCTTAGCTGAGTTGCTGTCCAAGGCTAACAAGTCCCATCCACCTATTTTAATCAGAAATACAAGTTTATTTACTAAATTACTTTTGCATTTAAATTTCATGTTTTTATCCCTTGTAACTTATGAAGTCTAAAATATTAGCATAAAATAAAAAAGTGAACTTTTTTGTTTTGTCAACAGATTGTGCCTTGCTCAAACGTGATATACTTCCAAGTCTCGGATGCAACGATGACATCTCGATTACTGGAGCGTGGCAAGAATAGTGGAAGAGTTGATGACAATGAGGCTACCATCAAAAAGAGGCTTTTGACCTTCCATAACCAGACTAAACCAGTCATTGATCACTATAAAAAGTTAGGAAAAGTCCAAGAGGTTAGTGCTTTTAACTAAATTTGTTAACTTTTGCTCAACTTCACTATTTCAATTCTATGATATAATAAATTTTTCACTACTTAAAATTTTGTGCTTGTGCTATTTTAATGTATATTGTGTTAGTAGTTCCTAATTATTTTCCTTATTGAAAAAACATTTTGATATTTTCAGATTTCAGCAGAGAAAGGAATAGATGATGTGTATGTCGAGGTAAAACAATTCATGGACAGCAAGAAATGGTAAAAGGAGCCTGAGTACTTGAATATTCTCTAATGCTGTGAAATTCCTCTTTTAAAAATTATAGTCAAATTTTTTGCATGCTATTTATTTTCTTTACATATCATGTTCCACTATTTATTTATTTAAATTCTAATCAGGCAAAAAAGTTACATTTTCTTTTTTAAATCAACACTTTATATTTATTCATTTGAATGTAATAGGATTAACAAATTAATTTTTAATTTAATTGCTGATTTGGAATTTTAAAATTCAAAGAAAAAAAAATTTCTGTACTTTCAAAATGAGTACTCTAAAAGTAATAATAACATGACAAGACAATGTTGTATCTTGGGATAAAATTGTGTCATAAATATCATATTTATTTTGTCTCATGACTTTATAGAATTTTTTATGTCACTGTAATCTATGGCAAAAATTAGGGTCCACCTTTTGGATTGAGCACAAAATATATTTCCATTTTTTTATAAACACTTAATTAAGCCAAACTGTTTTATGTATCGATACCTGTTGTCGAATTTCAATTCAAGTGTAATGCTTGGTTTCAAGTGACCTTAACAATAAACGTACAAGAGCTGTTTGTCAAGCAGCCAATGCCTTGGGTTGCAATAGGTAATTTTTAAACCAGCTTGTATCTTTGACCCGATCTCAATCAACACTTTTAGCCTTAGAATTTCAATGTAAGCTTTAAATTATTTTAAAAGATATAAGAATATGAGAATTCAGGTATTTAGACTTTAAGTTAATGATAAAAATATTTCAATAAGAATTTCTCAATTATCTAAATCTAATTACATTAATTGAATACTCAACTTTCAGTTGTAATTTAATGGAAAAACTCTTGAGTTGTTCACATAATTTTCCTGGATTTAGTCATTGTTGCTGTATAAAATAATTTTTTTTTATAATTGTAAGATATATGCAAAACAAACAAAAAATTCAAATTTTATTTTGTGAAAGGGTGTAATGAAGATTGTAGTTACTTGGTTACCCAATAATGAAAAAAACAAATATTGAAATATGAATGTACATATTGTTTTAGCTGAGATATGTAGAGCACTTTTTTTTGTTGTTATTGTTTTATACATTTATATTAAATTATGTATGTGTATATAGGAAAACTGAATGATTTAAATGGATACTTAAACTTAATGGGAATCTTTGTGATTTTTAACCCCTTGCAATCTATAATACTGTCCTAATTTTGTTTGTGGTCAAGCACAGTTGCTGACAAGTATTTATTTTATGACCTAATATATGAAAAAAACAGGATGAAGACAGGCCCTACACTCACATAAAAGTAAGTGATATCAAACTGCCAATTTCAAGCAGAACATATTTGGATTTTTCTATGAGCATCATGTTTTAACCTAAGGCAGACATTACATTTTTTTTATGCTTCATGTGCTTTGTTAGATTGAACTGTGAGAAGAGGCCTTTGGACACATAAGATTGTGAAGGGTTAATTATATAAAAGTTGTTCCCCAATTTCTGTCAGATTGTCAAAAAATAATTTTAAAATATTGACAAACAGTTGGCATAAAATCAAAAAAGGTGCTGTAGCTCTGTAATTGTACATGATTGTCTCCCCTGTATTTCAAACCCTCCGCTCCCAATATTCAACCCACATAATTAAAACCTTTTTTTATGTTGATCTAATTTATCTATAAGCCAAATGTGTGATAACTTTTTAAACTTTTACCTATTACTTTTTCATTGTGATCATTTTTTTAAAACTAAAACTTATTCATTACATTAAAACTGGTCATTAAATGGAGCTGTATTCAGTTACCTTAAAAACACCAACAATCATCTTTTGGCTTGTTTCTCTTTTTGATAATAGTGTTGGACTGCGATAAAGCTTTAAAGTAGATTAATTAGACACAAACATTATGTGTAAATAAAACATATGTTCAACTTTAATGATGGTTTTACAAAATAAAAATGTAGACGATTCGGCAAATGCCTTCACCAGTAAAAAAACCAAACCATTTTAATAAATATAAATTAAATTTACATAATATACATGTATATTTATAATTTATACTTATATAAATGTTTTGTTTTTTGTACTGATGAAGGCATTTACCGAAATGTCTGCATTTGTATTTTGTAAAATCGTCATTAAAGCTGAACAAATAGTTTTATTTACACATTGTGTCTAATTAATTATCATTTTGAATAGAGTGTTCATGGTGTAAAAAAACAAACTATATGAACTAAGTTTTAAATATTTTAAAAATAATTTGATTATAGGAGCAGTGTCACACATGTTGACTTCATGCAACAAACTTGATCTTGGGTCGGCCAGGAAGGTAGACAAGTCCTATATTGATTAAAATTTTTACGGCACGGCCCAACAGATGGAGCTAGTTGCCATATGCCACAGTAATAGCAAGGGCTTTAATAAGCGAGAGTGAAAGCCCACACATAAATATGTATGTTTGGCAGGTTTTTGAGACTATCTTATTTTTGTGTCCGTCTGTCTGGATAGTAGCTTAATTCCACATAGTTGTTTAATGTCTACCAACAAAAACATTGAGAGGTTTTCTCCATTAAATTGGAATATGTTTCATGAATGCTGAAAAGGGTTTTATTTTTAAACTAAAAAAAAAATTACCCATTTATAAAAAAAAAAGATTATTTTAGCTCCCTATTTGGTTTTTTTGTGACAACAAAAATAATGAGCCAATTCTAGTTGGAACAGATTTTAAAATGTCTACTTTTGTCTTATCAGTTGTTCAAGTATCAATTCGACTTTTTTAAAAATTTGATATAAACCTCTAATATCAGAGAATAAATAATAATTGAGATTATTTAAAAATCAAATTTGAAATAACCGAGAGTTGAAAAAAAAAAAAAAGACACCCAAAGAGAAGCATCGTCTAGCATCATTTATTCTTACAGTCATGTTATCATCGGTCCATTGAACCAGAGCAGCAGCAGTAGTGGATACAAGCCATTTATCAACACTGGAAACACAGGTCATCACTTTACATAAGAATACTCTTCCCCTCATGTACATGATCTGAATGGGGCAAAGTGAATGCCATAGTCTCATAGACACACATCACAATCACAGGCATAGGAACACATCATCCTTAAAAGTGAACTAAAAGCTTATGTCTTTGGGTCAGGTCTGGCAACACACTGTGTCAAAAAACCAGCATTGAGGTTGCTATGAGCACAAAATAGCAAAATCTTTTAAAAAATAAATAAAATGATCTCATGAAAATTTTTATATCAGAAATGTGGAGTACTATTAAATTTTTGTTTAGGTTAAACCAAGTAGCAATTAATAATATTCATTCAGAAATTTTAACAAAATTTGACAGGCAATTTTAACATTTTTCTCCGAGTATTGTAAAAACACTTTCAATCCAACATAATAACCCTATAACTGAGACCTAAGGTGCCATAAAAACTGTTAATACTCAAAAGCCCTGATTTCTTATAGCATTCTCATTACAGCATAATTAACTTTGATCTGCAAATACAGCATTTTATATTGAACATCATTTACTAAACACACTGTCCCCACCTGCTCTGTCTAAATAATAATGCAATTTTAAAAAAAAACGTTTTAAGGCAAATTCCAATAAATTTAATCATTGCAACAAAATGACATCTCTTTATAAGCACATGAATGAGTTGAATGAGGACATGCAAACAGTTACAATATTAAAGTCATTTTGTAATGGCACACTCAGGTTAATTAAAATGTTTTTTGGCTCAACCGACACCAAAAAACAAAACATCTGTGAAACTCCAATGAATGATAAATCTCAGAACGTGTTGTTAAAAAGGACAAACTAGGAATGACAACTGCGACATCCTCAAACATTTACAATCATAGACAACAAAACAATATAGCAAATACGTTAAATCAGGAGCATATTATCATCTTACTAACACAGCAGTCTTCCATCCTCAAACATTTACAATCATAGACAACAAAACAATGTAGCAAATACACTAAATCAGGAGCATATTATCATTTTACTAACACATCTTCCATCCTCAAACATTTACAATCAAAGATAACAAAAATTGTATAGAGAGCATGAAGAGACCAAAAAAAAATTTGATTTAAAAATGAATCCTGAAAAATTTGTTTAGATAAAATAAGTTCAAGATGGAGACCTTGACATGATTCCGGCAGGCCGAGATTACAGCCAGTTAAATACAACCTTTTAAAAATTCTCAATATTTGTACAGTCATTTGTTAATGTGTTATAATGTCTTCCAATGTTTGACATGTAAAGCAGTGCTACCAACTTTTGACAAGTGCTCATATTTCAACATGAATTTACGCTGCACTAAAATGAGACGGGTCTCCGTCAGATCTAAGAAATAATAATCTGCCAGAGAACCAGGCTATTTGGCTTCTTATTAAAGTGATGTGTAAATTCAGGTTGAAAAATGCACACCACAGCAAAGGTTGAATGTGATAAGAATTTACAATTCTATTGTGCATTTTGTTATAAAGACAGAACTGACTTGGGTAGAATTGCTAGGAATATTGCACTGAGACTGCAAGATGTAACTTTTTAAGACGTACCTGTGTACCCCAGCTGTAATTCAAACACACTCACACACATATATATCATTGCCAAAAATGCTTAATTTTAAACTTTAAAGTTTATGAGCTATTTCCTTTTTTTTGCCAATAAATCAAACTAAAGTTATGCATTGCTGTTTAGGTAAAAAATTTGCAGTAGGCGTCTATCTTCATCAAACCACATATTACCCATACACTAGAATCCTGTTATTTATCTGCAAGTGTGCAGCACTGCCTTACAGACCAAGTCTATCAACATGTTTTGGTTGAGTCCTCACAAGATCCAGTACCTCAGGAAGAGCAGAAAGAGAACAACTAAAATAATGACTGCAGCAATCTTCAGGTACGAGGATCTAAGGTTCAGGTATCTGGCATCTTTCTTGTATTTCTGGGACTGGCTGGACAGGTTGCTTGCCTTGGTGTCCAGCACTGAGAAAATGCACAGACATGTTATTTATACTCATTAAATGATAGTAACGTGGTTAACACCAGTGAAACACATACATTAAGTCTGATCTGATCATCCACAAGTAAACACATTGACATATGACATACTAATAATAAGACTAATAACCTGATGTTCTAAAACTGAACACATCATTATCAGGCTTTTTCTTTGGCTTTAAAATCACAAATAATTTTCTAGGTATGTATGTATGTACATATTTATGTATGTCTGTGATGCTCTGTTCAATTGGGCAAAAATACACCCCCCCCACCCCCCCAAAAAAAAGTGCACTAAACAGTGTGTAGATGTGTGTTCATTAACCAGGCCAGATACAATAACTATTTCTAAATGGGATTCGGAAAAACATTGATACTGAGATTTTTTTTAAAACCAGAAATGGAATCAAATTAAGTCTGGCAAAATAAATACATTGAGGCATATATGTAAATATATAAACTCTTTAATGTTGAGTATTTTTTTAGAAATAAATTTAATCGAATAAAATTCCCAGAAATTAGCATTAATTGGAATTTTTATAAACTTGAATCCATGTTTTGTCAAGTTACTTTAGTAGATTGTGGACTATTTCTAGTAATGAATAAATATAATGTTAACCTAAAGCTGTTTTACATCCAGCCTATAAAAATGTACCTGATAATGCTTCCCCTCTCATCAGGACCTCATCAATGTTCTGTACCATAATCCTTTGTACATCTTGTAGCTCAGTGTTAATTTGACCTAGATTGCGTCGTGCTCTTGAGTCCATATAAGATTTACGTGCCTTTTGCATGTAGGTGTCTGTAGATAAAAACATGTTTAATTTATAAAATTTCAGACATCAAATTATAATATATTTGTATACAAATTATTTGGAGATAAATTAATAACTAATGAGCTAGAGCACTGTTTCCCAAACTTGTTCAGTCTTGCCGCCTTGTGGATAAGTTTCCCACTGAACCAGAGAACGGTGCCAAATTAATTATTCGTATATTTCTATTTGACCTTAGAAATGCCCTAAAATACTTAAATCCACAATCAATCAATCTGAAAGTGCCATATATTAAATATTATTTACATTAAATTTTAATACTAGCTCAAGTTGTGGACACTGGCAACGTAAATCCCACTTCTTTGGGAAACATTGAGCCAGAGATACTGAAGATAAGAGTTAAAGTCTGGTGACCATCAAGTTAACTTGAATTGTTAATTAATATCAAGAGGAGAGACGCAAAAACTGACTAAACTCATTTATTTTAAGTGAATTCAAATCTAAAAACTGGTTGTTTTGAAGAACTGACAAACTTTGTTAAATAAAATGTTAAATACACTATGTTTTATAACCAGTCATATAAAAATAAAACATAGCAAAGAGGAGGTCGGCTCCTGCTCATTTAATCAATCTTAGGAGATAATATGTTCAACATTAGTTTTTATAATTTCAAATCTTGATTTTTTTTTCCATTACTCTTACCAAACTCAATAAATGAATAGGGACGTGATACTGTATCTAGCTTAGAGCCATACTGGGCTGTGAACTCATTCTGTAAATCCTCAAGGTATGAGAAGGCCAGTCTTTTAGAAAATGATTTCTCACATAGTACTAGATAACACACTCCTCTCTCTATCATGTAACTGGGGATATAGTGTAAGCACAGAATAAATATACTTCACAACATTTCTAGGCATGATTAAAATGACAAATACCCCTTTAGATCCAAGCAGAGGTGTAGCGAGGGGGTGGCAGGGGGGGACAGATGTCCCAGGGCGCCAGCTAGTTAGGGGCGCCAGCTAGTTAGGGGCGCCAAAATGTGCTTTGATATTATTTTATTGATTAAAATAATGGGCTTGAGAGTTGAAAAAAAGAAAAAGGGGTGCTTTAAAATGGATCTTGTCCCCGGGCGCCAAACACCATCGCTACGCCTCTGGAACCAAGCTTTATCTTTTGACTATCATTCATTTCAGGGTCCCTAACCAAACATTTAGTTAAACAGTGACATATTGACCATGTGATAAATATTTTCTATTCATAAGCAGTAGAACCTTGAAGTGGAAATAACAATTTGAAAACCATTACACAAAGTATGACAGCTGAATGTTATAACATTTAACAGCTAATTTTTATGTCTAGAAACCTGTCACACATTTACTTTCTACTAACAAGCTTTACTTTACAAATATATTTTAAAGGAGTAATTCAAAGATGGATCAGACCAAAACATTGCTTACAAATAAGTTTTTGAGGCTTAAAATTTCATTACAAATGGTTTTAGAAGGTACATGACAGAATTTAATTTTTTTAAAAACTCACTGGAAAAAGTAATGTGTAGTCTCAAGAGTACATTTTGCTGGAGGATTGGGATCTTGTGATAGTTTTCGAAACAGCTGTTTGGCTTGTGTCTGATATTCCATTAAGTTGCGACCAGACTAAAAATAATAATATTTGAGGTGGTGTATACAATTTTACACATTCATTAGTGTTTCTCGAATTGAAATGAAAAAAAAAAATGACACACAAAAAAAAACAAAAACAAAAAACTATTTTCAAATTTATACTCAGTATAACAAATCTTTTAAAATTTCAATTTACGTATAATAATGCATATATAATAATATTTGAACATTAAAATGATGAGTAGACCTAAATATAATTTTTACTATACACTCTAAAACAACTAAAAGGAAATAACAATTTGACCTAATGACTAGATAGACTTTGATAATTATATTATTGGTAAAAATAATGGGTTGGAGGGTTTAAAAAAAGATAAGGGGGCGCTTTAAAATTGATCTTGTCCCCCGGGCGCGAATCTTGTCCCTGGGCGCCAAACCTAAATACTTAAGCTACCAAAACTTTTAGAAAGTTAAAGTATCTACCTGTTCATCCTCCTGAACTGAAGCTGAAAGTGGAAGTCCATCAGCTACTCTTGCTATCATTGTAAGTAGCATTTTTGAGGACTGACTTGTTCACTGGGAGAGAAATTCATTAATAAAGTTTCTTAAGGTGAGACAAATGAATGGTATTAAATTAATATAGAATTTGAGTTGCCCTTTTTAAGATACATTTTAACTTAACTAGTAGTATTTATAATAATTTATTTAATACAGTTAAATTATGGGCTCTTCCTTACAAAAAGGACAATTTGAAACCAAAGACATTAAATCTTAAAGAACAACTTTAACACATAACATAAATTTATTCAGAATATCAATTATTATTTGAAACATCAAATGCCTCTGAATTGCAGAGCTAAATCCTTGCAGTAGGATCTGCATTAGGCTCCTTTTATAATTTGTCAGTCATTATCTCGACTTGAAACTACATATGATTAGGCTATACTAACTAAAATCAAAGACTAAATCAAGCATCATCTTAATTTTACCTGTAGTGTATTCTGGCTGAACTTGAGGTAAGTTGTCTTCAAATTTAAATGTAATTGGGGTGTCTCATAAGTAGAGGTTAAAGTCGTTCCTATATTAGTATATGCTATATTAATATTATAATTACAATGAATATTTCTAACTAATCCAAAAACAAATATAAATAATTGACCAAATACCTAAGTGATGAATAATAATACTAATACTTTGGACCATGAGCCATGAGGAAGCTCCACAGTATTGTAATAGAAAAAAAAAGAAAATTAAGCGATCAGCTATGCAAAAGCTATTAATAATTAACAGAGACTCAATCATTGATCAATACTGATTTACAATTGAAGTAACAGATAAAGTTTAGGCCTATTTTTATCAGGCTATAATAATAATTTGAATTTTCTATGTCTATTGTACTCATTCAAGACATGAGTACTGAGACAAGGTAAGCTCAAGACTACTCTAAAGTCTATCTAGTCATTAGGCTAGGCAGAGGCGTAGCGAGGAGGGGGCAGGGGGGGACAGATGTCCCCGGGCGCAAGCTAGTTAGGGGCGCCGAAATGTGCTTTGATAATTATATTATTGGTAAAAATAATGGGTTGGAGGGTTTAAAAAAAGAAAAGGGGGCGCTTTAAAATTGATCTTGTCCCCCGGGCGCGAATCTTGTCCCTGGGCGCCAAACACCCTCGCTACGCCTCTGAGGCTAGGTCTTGGCATGATTAAGCTACTAGACTCTAAGTCTAAGCCTTTAGTAGGCACTTTAGTTTTAGAATATAAGATAAACAAGTAAAGTTGAGTGAGTAGGCCTATAGTTATGAGTAGGTATGCCTACTACTTGGGTACTAAAGTAGTCATCTAAGTAACTTTTAAGTCTTTAGTCTAAAACTTTAAGCAACGGCAAGAAGTGTAACCATACACAGAACACAACATACTGATATTTTTATTACTAGTAATACTAGCCAACTTTCAAATTAGGCTAACACTCTTTTGTGAGGGCTTGATGATTTATTTATTTGTTAAGTAGCCTACTCTATGAGCTACTCAACAATAGCAGTAGTTAATTATTATTATTTTGGCTTACCATTATTTTTATTAGTTTGTGACAAAAATTTAAAGTAGCCTATTCAGTTAATAAAGATAACTCAGCACTGCTTACAGTTACAGTCTACTTATAATTATAACTGACTCGCGAGCCCGAGAGACTTGTAAATGAAGCGATTAAAAGTTAGCCGCCTACTAAATAAATAAATTAGTCTAAGTATTTACGGCTAAATGTTATTTAAAAACGTGTAATGTTAAGGATTTTGAATCATTAAGTAAATTTGGGTTTTACCATTGCTCAGATTTCAGAAATATGTTGCCACCATCAAAAAAAGCGAATCTACCTAACTGACGTGGCTGAAATTCGCGTAGCGAACTCGGCTAATATAGAAATATTATTGTTAAAAAGAAGAGCTCTTTCTTAAAGGGAGATAACTGGATAGAAGGGTTTGGCTAAATACCGTTATTATAACTAATTATTATTGCGCACATTTTACCTCAAATGACACAATAATGTCACATTCTTAGAAAAAGTAAGAAAATACTTTATTTCCTGTAATTTTATATTAATAGTTGCAAGCTAGTAGCCAGGCTAAGGATGAAGTGCCATAATTGATATGTTGCAACTTCAAATGCAACTTACTGTCTTACTCGGTGACAATATTTTAAAAACTTTCTAAATAAAAAGAAACCAAGCTGTTGCTATGATTAACAACTCCTTCAACTTTTATCACAAAAACGTCACCCCATAAAACGGGAAGTAATCCAGCTGCACTTAAAACTGGTGAAGGTTTATGCATATTAGCTGCTCTTCTTAAGTCTTATTAGTAGCACCCCACCCCTCTTTTTTTTTTGGTACTTTATTTTCAAAACCAAATTTACATAAATGTAAGGGAAACTGGAAACCTTAGGGGAAAAAATTGTGTGTAAAAAAAGTTTGTGTGACATATGATTTCTTTGAATTCAGGAAACCATTTAATTATTCTGGAAACTTAAACAAAAAAATATTGGTGCCTTTGTGTGCCCCCCACCCCCGCCCCCCCTCACTGTTTAGATACTTAAAGAAAATTTTTTTATAATTTATTTCAATAAAAATTACGTAATCATTTTGTTCCTACTTTCTGAGAATACAATTAGAAATCAATCCCTAAAGATCAACCTCATTATTTAAAATCTAAAAGCACAGAGAGTCTTTGATTTTTGTTAGTATATTTGCATGATTTGTCTAGCTACAAGTTTGCCAGCAGTGTTGCAGATTGTTTCACAGATGTGTCATAAAATTATTCAGAAAGTTTCTTTTGTAAAAGGGGCAGTGTGGAAGCAAATAATTTATAATTAAGATCTGATGGATTTTATTACTGATATATCATCACAGATTTCTAAGATCAGCTCGATCAGGGCCAATTCTTTGTCTTAAAGTAAAAATAACGAAAAATATTCAGGCATAATTCCGGTCTCCTCAGCCCTGGAGATTTTTCTACCTTGTTACCTTATAACTAATTTTCTTTTGCCTTTATATTGTTGCCAATTTTTTTTTGTACAAAATCTAAATGATCACCAATTACGTCATTAATGTTACTAAAGGAGTTCATTTATGGCTGATATATACACTAGAGAAATACTTTGGATGTCTTGTGTTTAAATTGTAATAGTTAAAAATGTTGTCTTGGTTTAAATATGTATTTATTTATATGCTGAAAATATATATGTGCATTGTAATAAAAAATATTTCCATTTATTCTAATCAACAAGAATCTTATCTTATCCCAAATGACCATATACATTTTTGTTAAAATTCCCCTTGACCAAAAGAACTTACAAAAAAATATTTTATAATTTTTATTTAAAATATTGTAGAGCACCAGTGTTACACAATTAGTTGAAAAACCTTATCTAGACAACCCCATCATATTTCACGCTGAAATTTACAGAACCACCACATGGTCTATGATCACAGACATCAATTCATACACTGAATGAAGAAACAAAGAGTTTATATCTCTCTAGGTGAATGGAATAATTTTTACTCCATCCCAATGTTAGATTTTTTCAGTCACTGCAGCCATTTTTGTGTGCAAAAGTTTCATACAAATTTAATTTCTGTGCATATATAAAAAAACCATTGGTTACCGATGATTTCACACTTTTACTTTAAAATATGTGTACCTCAGAACTTTATTATAATAGTTAAACTCATTAAATAATGTCTGTTCATTCAAACAGTTCTTCATCATACTCATTGAAAACAACACTGTAATGGTTACATAACCATAATGTGATTAAATTATAGAGAACTTGTTTTGAAAGCACCTATCATCTGCTATCTACTGTATGTCATTCTCTAAAAGGAAGAGGTATTTCTCTCCTTAGCTTAGTTGGAAAGACTTTTGCCCAGGTTGCCCTTAAACGATTGCAGAGCCTTGCGAACCGCATCTACCCAGAGTCCCAGTGTGGCTTCAGGAGTGGGCGCTCAACAATAGACATGATATTTTCGCTACGCCAAATGCAGGAGAAATGTCGTGAACAGCATATGCCTCTTTATATTGCCTTCATAGACCTGACCAAGGCATTTGACTTGGTAAGTCGAAGTGGCCTTTTCAGTATCCTGCAAAGAATAGGTTGTCCCCCACGACTGCTCACAATAATACAGTCATTTCACAAAAACATGCACAGCACAGTAACTTTCAATGGCACTGTCTCTGAGTCATTTCCAGTTAGCAGTGGAGTAAAACAGGGTTGTGTACTGGCACCAACGCTCTTTTCAATTTTCTTTTCGATGCTCCTTCAATTAGCATTCAGTGACTGGGAAGATGGAGTGTATGTCCACACAAGATCTGATGGAAGACTGTTCAATATCGGCCGCCTTCGTGCAAAGACCAAAGTCAAAAAGGTACTGATTCGTGAACTGCTGTTTGCTGATGATGCCGCCTTAACATCTCACACAGAAGAAGGTCTGCAGGGGCTGGTTAATCGCCTATCACATGCTTGTAAGGAGTTTGGTCTTCGATTAGTCTACAGAAAACTCATGTAATGATGCAAGAAGCACCGTCACCTCCAACCATATCTATTGAGGGTCATAATCTTTCGGTTGTTGATCATTTCATATACCTGGGATCCAATATTTCTAGTTCTCTCTCCGTTGATGAAGAGATCAATATCAGGATTGCAAAAGCAGCAGCAACTATGGCTAAACTGAATAAGCGGGTGTGGAATAACCTCAATCTAACTGATCAAACAAAAATAAGTGTCTATTAGGCATGCGTGCTTAGCACGCTCCTATATGGTAGCGAAGTGTGGACCACATACACCAGTCAGGAGCGGAAACTCAACAGCTTCCATCAAAGATGTCTGCGTCACATTTTGCGCATTCGTTTGCAGGACAGGGTGCCTAACGTGGAGGTCTTGGAACGGGCACACATGTATAGCATATTCTCCTTTCTTCTCAAGAGACGCCTTCGCTGGTTAGGTCATGTACGGAGAATCAAGGAAGGACGTATCCCAAAGATTCTGCTGTATGGAGAGTTGGCAGAGGGGACAAGACATATTGGATGACCGCGCCTGAGATTTATTGACGTTTGCAAACGAAGCATGAGGGAAGCCAATATTGAAATAAATGAATGGGAGTCCATTGCCGAATATCGCTCCAACTGGCGTACAGCAGTGTTTGGAGGTGTGAGAAAGGCAGAAGTTACTCGAAACGAGGCCCTCGAATCAAAAAGAACAATTCAAAAATCAAGTATTTACCGGGTTTCAACATTCTCCTGCGAGAGATGCGGCCGTGATTGCCATTCTAGGATTGGCCTAGTGAGCCACTCGTCAAAGGGTAGAACTATATAGCTACTCCATCGTCTCGTGTAGACGGAAGGATGCCATAATAAAAGGAAGAGGCATTTGAAATGAATACTTGAAACTACTTTCAAAGGCTCATTTCAGATGTCTTTAAAAAAAATATTCAGTGACATGAAGTTAAATTTTCTCTGGTTTAACTGTGTAACACAATAAAGAAAAAAATTGAACAATTTTTCTTTTTGTAATGTTTTTTTATATATTCCTTAAAATTTTTGACAGTTTTAGTGGCTTTAAAATTGATTTGACATAAATATTTTGCATGCACACTGCTAGCATTTAAAGAATCAAGCTTTTTATTTCATTGATTTATTTAAACACTTACAAAAAGTTTAATATTAAAAACAAATAAGCAAATATTCCTGAAACCATTTTTTAAAGCAGTATGCTTGAACAAAAGTTTAAAGTAATGCAATCCCTGAATGTAATCCACTGCATTAGTTGTAGTCGTCCCCCCACTGATCAACTGCTTCAGCACCATCACAGTTGTAACCATAATCTTCCTCCTGTCCATCTTCATCAAACAGCTCTTCTGGTCGTGGGTCATCTAAGTCTAGGCCCAAGCGCAGAACTTTGTCAAACTGTGTACAGATGTTTGAGTAGTGTGATCCCACCCAGAACACTTTACCGCAGTTAGTGCAGACAAAGAACTCTTGTATGGTGGAGAAGGATTCTACTTTTGGCACAGTTTCAACCTGTAAACAATTAAAATACATTTCTGGGTCATATTATTGACACAAAAAATTAATAGTAACCAGTGGCCTTTAAGAAGCTAAACATTTTTAATTTTTAAAAAATCGGCTGTAATAAAACCATTTGCCAGTTGTTGCGATTTTGAAAAAGGGATGCAAAAGTTATAATAGTTATATAAGTAAGGTTTGGTTTTATTTTAAAAAAAACCACCCTAAAAATATCAAGATGTAAATAATTAAACTCAATCACAATTTTAAAAAATTTTCAAAGGTGGCTAGTTTACAATTTGCACCAAACCTGAATTTTGACACCATTATGAAGAAACGCTATGGAGGCCGGATCAATGCCGTACTGTGAAAAGGTTGAACTCGTTCCTTGATCAACATCATAGAGTGAAACATTAGGGTCACGTTGACCTCCGGCAGCAAATCTACTCTGTTGCGATTTGTACATGTAAAGTTTTTCCATCTCTTTGCTGGGCAGTGTCACAAAGTCAGCATTGTTACACATCTGCCAGATGCAAAAATAGATTAAGCATACACATAAATATATTAACACAAAAAAAATAACAACAAACAAAAAAAAAAAAAAAAAAAAAAAAAAAAAAAAAAAAAAAAAAAAAAAATTATAAAAAAAAAAAATAAAAATAAAAAAAAAAAAATAAAAAATAAAAAA